ATAGGTAGAAAATTTACAGCACTGAAGTGAAATAAAGACTGGAGGTTGGATCATTAAGGGTTTGTAAAACGTTGTTGCCTATTTACAGGGAAATATTTCTATCTAAAAGTTGACGCAAAATGTTTCTGTACCTATTCAGTTATTTTTAAGACAAGTCGCCCTGCTGGTTGGGAAACATCCCTCGTTTAATAGAACCCGTAGATTCATTACCGCGTTGAAAATAGTGCGCCATTGAACCCTATACTGAGCTAGATAAAATTAACTCTCATAATTATACTCTACTTCTTTAAAACCCGCTTTAATATTATTCTCCTATCCACTCGTAAGTCCTCCAAGAGGTACCTTGTTTTCTCGTTTTCCGCTTGTACGCTACACGCCTTTCCCGTCTGTTTGTAGTTTATTTGATTTCAGTAATAATATTCCGTGATGGTTGCAATTATGAAGCTACTCATTTCACAGCTTTAATACATAGTCCTTAATACACACAAAAATGTAACTGGCCTAAAATTTGTAGCATTTCCTTATATATTGATTATATTAATGTGGAGATGATTGAACACGTTTTTCATAGAAGCATACAAATATTTCTAATTGAACTTAAGTGAGGAGGATCCACCCAAGCAAAGAAAGAAACTGTTGAATTTTGGAACACAGTTCTCTCATCCTTTGAAAGTGGAGGCAACATATTCCTCCGAAACGTCGGGAATAGCCCAGTTCCAACATGATTGCAACACTCGAAAGTGTAACCGAAACTGACAGTGAATCACCTTTACAGCTTAGAATCATCTGTTAATTCATATCTTGTTATGATCAAAGTAGGCTAGATTTCACTGGCATCTGGCAGTCTAGGCCCACCGTTTACAAAGAAAAAAAATAGTAGAGCTCAAACCTTCGGGCTAATGCAGTTGGACTGCGAACTTCACATCTTTCTTCTAGTACTGAGGTTAAGAAAGCGTGAAACTGCAGTATTTACGCAGTCCCTCAACGCCATAACTGCGGAGAGAGACTTTACATTTTGCCTTTATCAAACAAAGCAAAGCAGCTTCAGATCAAATTAGTGTAAAATTCTATTGTCATAAAGGCTTCAGACAATTCGTACTTGTTCAGAAAAAGCTTTAAATCCTTTGGAAATGTAGAATAATTCTATTTCTGTAGGCAAACATATTACGATTCACTACCTTGGATTACTCTCCGTTTTTATGAATGTGTCGTTTGTCATAAAACTTCGTTCTATTTTCTGAAGATATTTGAGTGCACTTCTAATTGTAGCCTTATGCACACACCCCCTGTGCTTGATCTCATTGATTAATTAATGATAAAGTGTGGTAATACATCGATTTATAAATAATCTATACTAATGAACACAGCAGACGCTCCATTGTCGTTAAAAGCAGGCTGCGTGGAAATTAATATGGAACAATTTCCAAGGCATTCTATACATCTTTACGATGCATAATAGATGGACTGGGCGATCGGAATTCGTTTCTCGTCAGGTGCAGAAAATATTCTCTCTGCCACCACGCGCTACCCGGGTCTGGGGCCTATCCAGTCTCGAATCCACTGTGTATTAGAACTGACGTGGGCAGAGTGAGAAGTGACCGGTCGCTTCAGCCTAGAGCCGAGGTTAAAAATTCTTGAAGTACAGGATGATCAAAAGTCATGCAACCCATTCCTGGCACGTGTTCTGTTTGTCAAAAAATAAATGACATTAAATCAGAATACAGAGAAACAATGTAATATTACGTGTTAGAACTGTCTAGCGCCTTCAGCGATGCATTAATGTACTCTTTTCCTCGTGTTTAATGCGAATCTGTAACATAGTAACGGTTCTCCTGACGAGATTTATTTGGCACAGAAAAATCGGGAATTGTATCCCTAAAGTCATCCTGGCATGATATATGACCGAGATGTCAGGTGGTGGCCGACAATTAACACTCATTGCACTTGTGAAAAAGACATCTTTGCTCTTCGACTATTTTAAGGCAACTGACAGATAGGCGCGAACATTATGATTATTTGCAACATGTAAGCTTGTATAAAGTATACCAAAATTATTTTTCTGATATGATATTAACTAAACGATATTCATTGATACTCTTTCTGCACACCCAGTCACAGTCCGTTCGGACTCCCTCTTATCTGCGCTCCAACGACTTGCTGAACATGCCAAGAAGACGCAGGTAAATTAATCAGCTATTTGCAGTCATGTGCCGTAACACGAAATGTATTCTTATGGATGTAGATAAAGGCCAACAGTGTAGAAAGTACATCAGGAAGTGGTCGAAGAAGCCTTCTGGAGGCAAAATGCCGGGGTGGTGCTTCGTTGACCCGCCCGCCCTGGTCGAACCATCGCCTTCGGGGAAGAAAATTTTCCATCTCTGTTCTCGCAGGTGTGCCTCTGTTCTCAACTCTTAATTCATCTCTACACGCGTCTTCGGGCGGTATAGCCTTAGTGTAACAATGGGACAATCGTCTTTATCGATTAATGGAACATTTGCCCACGTACAAAAGCCTGGAGTAAGGCTTACACTGATAAGCTGCAAAACAAAAGCACAGAGCAACACGCTTAGCAGCAAAATCACCTGCTCAGTTATCGTCTCCTTATACAGAAAACTCACTGCCCCCGCCCCAATCTCTGTCTGCAATTTTATAATTCGTGTGTTACTCAGAGGCATATTAAAATTATTTTGGAAGGTCAATCACGGAACGTAAGTTGGGATTCGTAGACCACTATAAGAGCTAGCATATTTTGCTACCGGAAAGTGTTACGATACCTAGTGTTATTATTTCTTTTAATCCTTTGAAGTAGAATTTAAGATTTGAAATTAAGATTTGTTTCTTGGACACAGATTTACGTAGAACCATATTGTCAGCCTGTAAATTTCTAACAAATGCCCAACCATACAAGCATTTTGCTGAAGGTGTTATATGTTGGCCTGTGCTATAAGTTAGGAATTTATCGTTGAAGAGCGATTTGACATTGCAGCCACTGATACTCACCTCAGTACCTTTCTTTTAATTTGTTGTATAAATAGGCGCGACTTTAAATAACTTAAACAAATAGGCCTATATATCGATATTTCTGTTTCTCGTGACGTATAAATAACACGCGAATCTAGAGATATTTTCTTTGCGTTTGTTTTAGAAAGGTTCTCTAAGACGTTATTTCTGGCAAATTATGTGTGATTACGTTTAAGCAAATACTTCGTTTACATGCAATGCAGAACCGATCAAACATCATATCCAGTGACAAAAGAAGCCTCATACCACTGAGCTAAAACGGATGAAATTGGCTAGGCTACCTACCTTCACGTAATGACGATGTCAAGAACAAGTGGAGTTCTCCCTTCATGCCCCTACACAATTTGGAATAGTTGTGCAACAACGCAGAGGTAGCTTTGCTCAAGCACGCCTATTACACCGCATTGCCTGTAGGCTTGGGTTTGGCTGATATAGACGACGTTTCGGAAATTTCCTTTACTCTATCCTTAGCCGAATATAGTCACATGGTTGCCATCAGATGCTTCCAGGCTCGAACCGGACCGCCATCAGCAATTTCGATAAAAAAATTCATTAAGAAGAAATGTTCAGCCAATAACATGAAGACAATAGTAAAACCTATTGTGTGTATCAAAATTACTCTACGTTAGAAAATGCCGAAATTGATAGTGAATGATCTACCATTCTTACAGTCTTTCAGGGAATTATTTACACTGCTTACTTACTTATACCGAGTAATGGGTAGAGATATATCGATTATGCACGTACGGCAGGATATGAAAACGTGATGTGGGCTGCTTTACTTGCAGGTAGCAGTCACGCATAGTCCTATTCCACGACGAGAGAAATGATAATAAGGGCATATATACAGATTTGCTATAAGAAAACATTATCAGTTTTATCTTATAGCTTTCTTTTCTCTCCTTCGTGTAAAATTATAGAGCAATGTGTAAATATTAATGTGCGATTTAGGTAATAGGCCTATATGGTCTATCCTGGAGCCATCATGAACAGTTGTTAATGTCTTTAGTTGTTCTGAATGATATGAAAACTATCCTATCACAGCCAGTCAGTCACGATTGTCTTGTGGCGATGTGAAACAAGAATTATAGCAACATTCCTACTGTACAGGCATCTAATGCTCCGAAGGATTGATGCGTAACTACTCCAGACTGTACACATAAAATGGCGACGGCTCAGAAGCCACTGAAATACCGTCAATGTAATTTCACGGCTGTGACAATGATGATGACGTTTTTCTGGGTGTCGTCGCCGTGTTGACTGGTCGGTAAATGTGGAACAAATTCTTAACGTCGCTCTCCATCTTGATTAATATACCACTTCATAAGTGTATTATTTAAATACTCATTACGATTTAAAAACAGATTATTAATTTAATAAACCAATAAAATCTTCTCGGGCAATCAGTCGCGTCAACTGGTTACCGTAGTAAACCGACGTTTCGGGAACAAACTCTGTCCCTAGTATCAGGGTTCATCAGAACCCTGGTTCCCGAAACGTCGGTTTACTACGGTAACCAGTTGACGCGGCTGATTGCCCGAGAAGATTTTATTGATCGTACTCGCCGCGAAAGTCTCAAATCCTGTAATTTAATAAACTTTACAAAATGGACTAACGCAGCGTTTCTCAATCTATGGTACGCGTACCACTGGTGGTACGCAAACTAAGTAAGAAAATCAAAAGATGGTATTAACATAAATAAGTTTTTCCTGAACGCATTTGGTTAGTGGTACATTTAATGTGTTAAATCAGAATTAGTTGTAAGCCAGCGAAAAAGGGTGAGAACCCTTATTTAAAGCTTCGCTGTTCGTTGCTTCGTCATGAACTCCTAATAAAACGTCCTTATTTCTGTTGTACGTGGCATATACCAGGATTTGCTCATTAACCAGGAACGGACCTGAAATGTACCTGCAGGCCTGTTATAAAATATGTTAATACTAATCCGTATCTAATCGCAGTTTTGTTTTCTGTCGTTCCAGAAAGCGCAAAGACGTCGGGGGGGAGGAGTACGTGTTAGGGCCGCCCCTCTCCACACGTACTGGAACTCCCTTGGCCCGTATGACTGATATGCCACCATCAGGAGAACCTGGGGGTGGAGGGGCTCCTGGCGACGATGGGGGCTGGCGAACAGCGTACTACAGCAACGAGCATCCCCTGACAGCTGCTACAACGGCCATGCTGAACATCAGCAGCGGCGGAGCAGAGGAATCGACGCAGTCCATGGGTTTCATCTACGAGTATTACAAGTTGCAGCAGCTTCCTGCTACAGTCGGCGATAAGGACAAACTAGAAATATGGCCGTGAGTATTAAAACTTGTTTCTCCCATGCCTGCAGACTAGAATATTGGATGTTTTGGGACCTTGTGCAATGCAGAAAGTCGCCCTGATGACGGAGGCAGAAATAATTGTGTATACACTGACTACAAGACAGCATCCCTGAAGCCAACCATCTTCATTTTGGTTGCCTTCAGAAGATGGAATCTCGTGACACCATTTAGTTCTGTGTAATAATCACGGTGTTCGTGATGTGGGTCTTATTTCAATATGAATCACGTTTTAAGCTAAATATAGCCGGTACAGTTTGATTTTAAGTAAATCCCAGTTCCCGGAATTTTTAACAACACAAAAGTAAGATATAATGATATTTAAGCTTTCAGTATTGGAATTTTTTCGCCCATTTTGAAGTAAAGCCAGTATACAGTCAGCCCTTGCTTAACGATGTTTCGCGTTACGACATTTTATTCATAATAATTTTTATAATAAATCGCATGCCCTCCTTGGCTGGTCATCCGAAATCTTCCTAACACTGCGTAATAACGAAAACGCAAAGGACGCTACGTTGCCCAGTCACTGAGTAAAACTAGGAGAATAGTATTCGAGTCATTATGCCTTTCGATCTGCTTTGCTGTGCATCTTGGGAAATATTTTTCTTCTGTTTAACAATTTTGTGGTTCATACCCCTATTAATCGCGGTTGATTTACGGAATAAATTTTGTTTATTTTAATTTGTTTGATAATTTTTGGGTCATTCGAAAACGTAAATCCCAATTTTGACATTTCGCTTATGGGATATGGCGACTTGTTTTAAAATCTCTGTGCCTGTAGACTTTTGGTAAAAGCAAACAAGGAAACAAATATGAGGACAGTAAGAAAGGAAGAATTACGAAGAAAGAGAACAGGAGAGAAATAGATAACAAGAGATATTAGATAACAGAAAGAAAACTGAAAAGTGCTGTTCTGTAACAGGAAAGTGGATTTCTTACTTGCGGTTTGGGTTAGACCCAGAAAGTCGAAGCTGGAGGCGATTTCCTCCGAAATGCTGGTAATAAAAGACCACACCGAGTAAAATCCCAATTTATTTGCCTCTGTGATAATCTAAAATCTCAGAGTATGTGCACACAATTTTTATATACAACTAGCAAGAACAAGTGGTAATTCAAATTGGGACCACTGAAACGTAATACTTGCATAAATACGTCGACCGGCCTCTGACTGAAACTGATATGAAACAGTTTCGTGTATGAATTTGTCCGGACTGAATTCAATCAAACCAGACGTACAAATGTAGAACGTATTGTATGAAAAACAGGTAAGCTCCTAGATTTTGTTTCAGTAAGGCTTTCGTCGACAATTAATTTATTCTAATTTGCAAAGGTAATCTACAGTAGCTTAACAGAAGCAGCCACCATGAAGAGAAATAGAAGGTCACAGTAGCAATGCGGCTTAATACAACTTTTATCTGAGAATCTCTGAAATGTGATAGCGTACTCATCATCACTTGAACCTGCGGAACAATACGTACGAATGTAGGTACAACCATGGGTCATCTTTTTATACAGCCAGTCACCCTCTTATAAATCTTAAATCGCAAAGATGAAACAGCAAAAGGGTTGAAAGAGGCAAAACTTATAAATGACATTAACACAGACAAGAACTGGGTCGGACTACTTTTTGAGATCTGGTATGTAGGGATAGTGGAGAATGAATGGGAAAGGGTGGAAATTCTTTGTGAGAATAATGAGGAGAAGTAGGAGGGGTGCAATAGATGTCAGCACCTTGCATAGATACACGGCGGATGGCTGGAACGAATTTTTCTCTTGAGGGTGCGCAGGCAAGCAGACAATGCGACAGTAGCTTCAACTGTAGGATGTTACACACATCGATATCCATGAAGATCACCTAGACTGCCTAATCATTACACTTGGTACTGCACGACATTCTACGATATTTTAAATCATAATAAGATAGCAGTGAAATACACACTGACAGTACAACAAGCTTCAAATCAAAATCTTGAAACCTTGCATACCGTGCCAGGCACTAAGTGTTTTTAAAAGTGTAAACAGTTTTGTTTCTATTTGTGTTTTTATATATTTTAGATAAGTATTCGATTCAGAAGTCTAACAGTGTTGTGATGTATGCATTTTCCGGGAAAACAGTGTCATACTGCAAACTGTTACGGCATTTGACGTCTAAAGCAAAGAACAGTTGGTTGGTTACTTATGTTTTGAATGGATTTTGTTTACCAGTCACGTTTATTGTAATAGTGGTTACAGTCCTATAGTTGTGTTACAAATGTTTGCTACTGATTTATTTTTAGAATTATTGTTAGTTGTTGTTATTGTTGTGTTATTCTTAGCTGTGTTACACCCTTCTGTGTGATGTCCTATCAGACGTTTTGACCACAATGTATTTACGTGCTTTTGTGCTTGAAAATTAGCTTCTGTTAACAAAACAGTTCTACATTTCGAATAAGAAATTAGTCACTTCCAGCTTCTTGTGACAGTTGCCACTTTTTTAAAGTAAAACCTGCGAGTTACAAGGAATTTGAGATTGGGCAGTCTATATAATTTTAGTTTTTGGCCGTGGGGCGCTGTTGAATAACTGGGGTCGTCTATTTTGTGATTCAACTTCTTGCGTCAGTGTCGCTAGCTAGCGGGAGGGGGAGGAAATTGCCGAGAATATTACATACAGATAGAGTAGCTGCCCCATTTCAGCTATATAATCTTCCTGAGAACGACTTTAGACGGCTGTGGCGCGAGTGAATCAAATAGCTTCAGGCGGCAGTGAAACAGTGTAATTGCGAGGAAGTGCATAACAAGAGTCAGCTAAAGATCTGAGAGTGAAGGAATGTTCCAGGAAATCAGTAATGACACGAGAGGATACTCTTCTTGAGTTTTTTAGTGGAGGGTGCAGAGTGAATTAGCCCTTCTGAGATTTTAACACCAAGAATTTTATTTGTAAATAACCCTTATAATACAGTCTTCACTGTACAGTGTGTTTACATGGTAAAATATTATTCATTTTTGATAAAAACCAAATTTTCAACTTGCTCAGAAATCTCTTTCGCTGGATCCTATCCCGAATGAAATCAGTCCAGTTCAGTCTTTACAAGTTATTTCTGTAGAGTTCATATTAATATTAGCCTCCAATCTGCGCTTTTATCTTACAAGAACTCTCTTCTAAAAAGATATTAGGAAATCCATGGAACAATGTATATCTGTTCACAATCTTAACAAACCTCTACCTTCAGATAAACTAACTGCTTAGACGAAAAAATCAGTATTAGATATATCTTGTGGGTTCTTTTATTTATACTTCTGAGAGTATTTTATTCACACAAATTTTACATAACTTTTCATTTTCTCAAAACGGTTTGGGAAAACCTCTTGGAAGACATTTGAATGGAAGAGGGAGAAGAGACGAAAGATAATATTAATATGTATCTCAGTTATAAGCGTGTACGTTGTAGAAGGTCGATGGAACTGCTCGGTTTCTTGTCCAATGGCTGATTTTCTTATCAGATGCTTTGGTGAATCTTCGTGTTTTGCTAAGGTTGATTGTATTTAGTTTACCATTGCGCATAGATGACTTTATAAAAGGCTTTTGTATGTCCGTTTCATAATAAACGCAATAAACGATGGACTGTGTCTCTGTCGCATTTATCCGTTTGTCCATTCGTCCGTGTACATTTTATTGCCTTTTATTTCCGCTTGAGATTTGGCCATTAGAACTCAATTATAATAAATTTCCATCTGATGGGTTTGCAAATTTTAATGTAACGCATTGGTCAACATCCGTTGAGTGGTAGTTCAGCCGATACACACTTAAGTTTCCACGTGCTTAATACTTGTTCAGTCAGTTATGTAATATGAAAATACGTTCTAAGTCAGACCGCTGAGATCTATTTTGAATATATATTAAGTTGTCTTTGTGATGAGTTTTCTTGCTTCTGTGATTCCCTAGGCTGCCGGGGGGCTGCGTCATGGTAAGGTACCGAACGGTCACGACTGTAAAACCAGTCAGAGGGATTCCCACAATGGAAGCTCTTCCTGCAGACAGTAGTCTCGACAGAAATAGTCTGTTCAACTAAACTCCATCCCGACGTCTTAATTGTTACTGCTAGGTCTGTATTAAATTATTTTACGACAAAACATCAACTGCACAAGTTATGTCGCGTCGGATAATAAATGGTATGATGATATTAATCTTGAGAGTAGAAGACTGAAGGGAAGAAAACTGGTATTCCTCTTATGTGAGTAAAGTAAAGTAATGTATAAAGTATTAAGTGACAGAGGAAAACTACAAAAGTCCTCAGTCAGGCAGGATAGCCGATACCCAGACAGAATTTGAGCCGGACTCTACGAAATGTAATGCTGCTAAATTTAACCGTTCATAGTTGTTCTGCCTCATGCAATAGCGATACTTAATAATGCGTGTGGATATTAATACAAAATTAATAATCATTTGAAGGTGAGTTAGAGGCGTATAGGATAGCTGCCGTAGCTTGTTTTAAGGTACTTCTGTGTTGGGATTTGGCGTTCGGATTTCTGTTTCTAACTGAGAACGTTTCCTTCTTTAGTACATTCAGAAAACACGTTTCAGGAAAGCATGCCACGGACATTTATGCCCATGGCGTAAGTCAGATTCCAGCCCACTGTCTCAGTTTTCGATCGGCCCAGATGTGTGGGTCCCGTAGTTCGTGCGGCGATCATGGCTGGTATTTATGATTTGAGGTTTTCACAGCGGTGAGTATGAAGATTTCTGTCTTCTGGGTTGTTGCGCTGTGTAGTCTGGTCGATGTTTACCAACGTTTCAGAGGTCATACTGCCTCCGTCATCAGGGCGATGAATCGCAGTATGACCTGTGAAACGTTGGTAAACATCTACCAGACTACACAGCGCAACAACCCAGAAGACAGAAATCTTCATGATTATTATTATTATTATTATTATTATTATTATTGTCATCTTCAACATCATCACTACGAACAAATTATTGCACTCATGCTACTATGAAC